ATATAAAACATGTGTTCAAATAATTTGGGATTCACTAAAACCCTAAAACTTAGTTAATTCCATTTTTATCAAATAAACCCTAAGAACTAAAATAAACTCTAACTAGGTATTCCTGACCACACCAATATGGACATACTTGTATATATATAGTACCGTAGACTACGAGGATATACATGTATATATATATACTAACCGTAGATTACGGCGATACTGTCAATATGGACATACCTGTATATATACAGTAGCAGTAAACTACGGCAATACTGCCAATATGGACAGATCCGCAATTCGTACCATGTGCAGAGATGGACACCGGAAGAGTGATTTGTGATTTGTGATTTCTAGACAATTCATTGCAGAAAAACGTTTTAACGAATGACTAGAGGCTAGCAATGCAATGAATGTGAGGCTTAAGCAGCCATTCAATGCAAGTTCCTTCAACACCATGCACGAGACAAGTAGGACATTGGTGGTGCTGTTCTTTCTACCAGTGATAGCAAGAGCGTGTAGATCCTTTATACAAGACACGAGGGGTGGTAGAATGATCGCCAATATGAAGTGCGTCTTTTAAAAACGAGCACGTCGGTCGGTATTTGCTAGCAGCAACACAAAACGCAAACCAACGGTTTGAATTTGTCAAGCTATTGTGTGCACGCGAACTTTACAGAGAGATACTTATGGTCTGAGCATTACATACTGCCTGAGAGACTCCAAACATATTCGTGATCATATGGACGCGGTTCTGATATTCTTTAATCAAATTGATCTACTCATATTGTCCAATTGCCATGGATGTGACTATCCAAATTGTACTACTCATGTTGTCAAATGAATACATATGAATATAGGATTCGCCACGCGGCATGCGGGAGTACTTGAGATAACCAGCGACTTAGAGAACCTTTTCTCGGTATCACGATTCCGTTAAATATCGCGCAGAGGTTGTATCGAAACGCACAAAGAATACCTCAACCACATCTCCAATGCACCCGTCTCGATATGAGAATTATATCCGCGTGTCTTATAGGTATATGCTACCTGACTATATATATATATATATATATACATAATATAAATACCTCTAAGTATGGATACGAGTAATACATCCGAATGTCTTACTTCTAGACATCACGTGCCTATGTATATGCATATATCATCAAGCTTGGATAGGGGCATTGCATCCTCGTGGCAAGCGACTCCGCCGATTCGAAGTTATTAGTCTGAGGCAGTTCCGGATCAGCGTACAGTACAGGCGCAATGAGAACATCCATAAGCAGACGTATTTCCTTTCTGACCTCTTCTTATAGTCAGACCATGGCACCCTCTCAGAAAGTGGACTGGGCCGACCAATAGGATACACTTGAGCAATGTCGATGTTTCGAACCGTAGGTACATACGTCCACACAATACATGGACATATGTGCTTCCTAATGCTCGACCTCATGACTCCGAGCCAAAGCTCCAACTAGTTCTTCCAACACCCGGTAGAGAACTTCCAATACACACCCGGTAGAGGACTTTTAAACACACGTGATATACTGAAGTACGGCACAGATCAATGCCGGGTGTCCCTACACTTCTGTACCTAGGTATTAACTCCTCCAATCTGAGCCAAAATTACAATGCAGTCCTCCAGTCCAATGGCTGGACAGGCTTTTGGATGGCTGGGCAGGCCTTTTAATCCCCCTAAACCGTAGAGACAGGTATTCACGTGTCCCTAGCATTGATCCACAATGGGAACAGGCGCACACCTATTCTGTGCTTCTCATGTGTTACTCTCTATTAACTTCCATCCTGGAGAAGCCCGATATCTTCAACCAGCAACGCAGCATGTCTCCGCATATCACTACCTAATCCATTGTCACGCCTTGCTGTACCGAACTGTGCCTCTAGCAGCTATTCTCCTTCGCCTGGGTCAACGCCCCAATGAAGTCTTCCACCACAGGCCCATTAAGCCCATCCACCCGTCCATAGGCACAATACTACCTAATCCAATACTACGCCTCTGCTGTACCGAACTGTGCCTCTAGCAGCTCAATCTCTTTCGCCCGGGTCAACGCCCCAATGAAGTCCTCCAACACAGGCCCATTAAGCCCATCACCCGTCCATAGGCACATTACTACCTAATCCAATACTACGCCTCTGCTGTACCGAACTGTGCCTCTAGCAGCTCAATCTCCTTCGCCTGGGTCAATGCCCCTATGAAGTATTCAAGCACAGGCCCACTGAGCACATCCACCCGTCCATAGGCACATTACTACCTAATCCAATACTACGCCTCTGCTGTACCGAACTGTGCCTCTAGCAGCTCAATCTCCTTCGCCTGGGTCAATGCCCCAATGAAGTCCTCCAGCACAGGCCCATTAAGCACATCCATCAGTCCATAGTGTGACATGTTGATGCGGTGGTCTGTCACACGGTCCTGTGCGTAGTTGTACGTGCGAATGCGCTCGGACCGACTGCCAGTACCAACCTGTGCAGTTGGGAGTAGGGGTTTAGGGGGTTTAGAGTTTAGGGTTTTAGGAAGAAGGGTGTGCATAAACAATAAATCTGATTAGCGTGGAAATGATGCGCATAAAAAAAGCCATGCGTGTTGCGTAGCATAGTGTGGGTGGAGTATTCGTAAGGATAGGGTTTTTAGTGTGAGAGTATTCATAAGGATAGAGTTTTTAGTGTGAGAGTATTCGTAAGGATAGAATTTTCAGTGTGAGAGTATTCGTAAGGATAGGGTTTTTAGTGTGAGAGTATTCGTAAGGATAGAGTTTTTAGTGTGAGAGTATTCGTAAGGATAGGATTATTAGTGTGAGAGTATTGTGCATGTATATAATGGTCATGCCTGTCGTGCACACGGTAAGAAGCATAGCCGTGCTACCTACACATACAAAACATACATAATACAAAAACATTATATACATATTACGAGGGTTCAAGGTTTTTCTAAAACATAGTACGGACGGTCAAAGCGTTTTGTGGGTGCCAAGTCGCGCCTAAGTGTAGTTTTTAGGTTCAGGGTTTAGGGATTTCCAACCTATCATACGGTGTATGCCCAGAGTGTAGTTTTTAGGTTTAAAGTTTAGGGGTTTCCACCCTAACATACGGTGTATGGCCCAGTCGCGTCTTCTTGTACTGTTAGTGCTATGTGAAGACTACATGGGTTGTACCTGGTACACTACGAGTGATTCTGTCATACGTTGTATGCAATAGGGTCCATGGGGAAATGCGAATAGTTTAAGTAGGAATACGCAGGATATACACAGGAGCGTTACGGGTTAGCATGCGTACAACAACAACTTCAGACAGCTTACCCACCCAATCGCACTCTTTCACAGGTGTGCACACTTGTATACTATCCTTTGGTGCAACCGCCTCTCGTATACTCAACTGACACACATATTGTACGCCTATAGTTGACATAATAAGATTCATGAGAAAATGACGATGGTCCAAGTAGGAATATATAGGACATACAGGAGCTTTAGGGGTTAGATGGCGTACAACAACATACTTCCGCATTATACTAAACCCTAAAGCCTTGAAACCCAAAGCCCTACCTGCTCCTTTCGGGCGGTAGCCCTCGCAGTGGCTAGACGCTCTCGCTCTGCGTCGAAAATGCGCGTCTTCAGCACCAGCATGGCCTTAGCTTTGTTCTTATGTTGCGATCTGATTGGATGAATAGGTATTAGCGCATATATATATATGTATATATAAAGCGTTCACGGAACTCTATAATGCGAGAATGAGCTTCTGATCGGGCTTTACAGTGTATCCAGGTGACCACAAAAAAAAACTTCAGAGATACTTGTGCAAAACACACACATTTTATAAATATACACGACACACATACATATTTCTACATATATACACAGCACTCGCACACCCACACCTACACCTACACCCACACACCGACAGCGACACACACACACACATGAATTTATAAATATACACGACACACATACATATTTTTACATATATACACAGCACTCGCACACCCACACCTACACCCACACACCGACAGCGACACACACACACACATATATCTATATAGGTATAATATATATATATATATATACATGGAGTGTAAGTTACACACCTCTCGTCCTGGATGCATACGATGACTCCCGTAGGGATGTGGGTCAGTCGCACAGCACTGTCGGTGGTGTTCACATGCTGTCCACCCGCACCACCCGAGCGGTAGGTATCTACCTACAGAACACACAGACAAACAAAAAAATGCGCGAGTAGGAATTCAGGAGAGGACCATGTCGATCATATGTTGGCAACAATCGAGAGTTAAATAGAAAGTGAAAACACTCAGCCGAAAGCACAGGGCAAAACATTTCGTATATCATCGGCAAGAGAAAGAAGCGTGGATATGGTATAAGAAGCCTGGGTGAAAAAATCGGAGTCAGTTAGTAAGTGAGTGGGAGAGTGTGAGTATATGTTGGCAGCAATCGAGAGTTAAAAAGAAAGCGAAAACACTCAGCCGAAAGCACGGGGCAAAACATTACGTAAATCATCGGCAAGAGAAAGAAGCGTAGATGTGGTATAAGAAACCTGGGTGAAACACTTGGAGTCAGTGAGTGAGTGAGTGAGTGAGTGTGAGTATGTGAGTGTGCGATAGAGTATATATACGCAACACAAGCCGAAACACTATGGTCCAGAAGCTAAGACCAGCAGTACCTTTATATCGCTGTCTTTCACATCCACATCCACATCCGAGGCTTCTGGTAAGATCGCTACTGTGGCTGTGGAGGTGTGCACCCTGCCCTGTGTCTCGGTTGCGGGGACTCTTTGCACCCGATGAGTCCCAATTTCGTGTTTTAGGACACCAAACACATTGACACCGCTCACACCTGCTACTATTTCACTCATGCCACCTGCGGTTGTGGGACTGGTTGAGTAGATTTCTGTCCTCCACCCCTGGCGTTTGGCTAGGGCTTGATACATGCTAAATAGATCCTGTGGTGTACGTAACAGGGGAATGCTTGAATAGTTATATATATATATATAAATCGCACTACTGGGGAATACCTGAAACACCCTCGCAACAGTACGCATCAGAAGGAGGTACGCATCAGAAGGAGGAGAGTGCCACAACTCAGACAACAACAAACACTCCCAACCACTGATCAACTGATAGACAGTCAGCGCTAATGAACTCATCGCATGAGATGTAAGAGACTATTGCCTGTACGCATAGCACAGACTCGTAAACACAGCAGGAGGACACTGGCGGATGAACGTAGCATAATAGTACCAACAATAGTACACATATACCAACATCAGCACACAAATACAAACATGAGTACACGTCTACCAACATCAGCACACAAATACAAACATGAGTACACGACTACCAACATCAGCACACAAATACAAACATGAGTACACGTCTACCAACATCAGCACACAAATACAAACATGAGTACACGACTATCAACATCAGCACACAAATACAAACATGAGTACACGACTACCAACATCAGCACACAAATACAAACATGAGTGCACGACTACCAACATCGGCACACAGATACAAACATGAGTACACGACTATCAACATCAGCACACAAATACAAACATGAGTACACGACTACCAACATCAGCACACAAATACAAACATGAGTGCACGACTATCAACATCAGCACACAAATACAAACATGAGTACACGACTACCAACATCAGCACACAAATACAAACATGAGTACACGACTACCAACATGAGTATATACCTGGACGAAGAGACTGGCCTCACCACCTCCTGCGCCTGCCCTGATCTCTAACATGGCGTTGTGACTGTCGGCCGAATCTTTGGGAACGATACTTCTCAGCAATTCTGCTTCCACCTGTGGGTGGGAGAGACATCATACAGTCATGTGGTTTGAGGGATCGAAACGGAAATACTCAAGTGTATACTCATAGTATATATATATATATATATACAGACAAAGATACAGACACAGACACAGACACAGATATATATATATATATATATATATATATTTATATATATATATATATATATATATGAATATGTTTACATACGCATACGCACGTACTGCAAGCAATATAACAGACGTTTACGTATAAATCACACTCACACAACTGTTTATACCGCACACACGCATAGGCAAGTACCGCTCGCAGTTCAGTGGTTTTCTCCTCCACTTCCATCTCAGCCATAGCCTTGAGCTCAGCGTCAGTGTCATCTGAGTCGACCATGGAGGATAACTCCTGCACATCTCTGTAGGTGAGAGGGTGTATATGAATGTCAGTGGCCTATGTAGGTAAGAACGTATGACACAGACACACAGACATACACATGTATATATGTAACAAACACAAACACACACACACACACACATATATATATATATATATATATACATCATGCATATATAAATATTCTATAGATGTAAGTACCCACTACAATTAATTACCGTGCTGGCATAAACGCATTAAACTTCCAAATAGCTTTCACACAAATAGTAAGACACGTCTTCTCAGCCAACAATGGCTAAGTCAACATAACCATCGGTATATTCAATACTGATGTACCAGGAAGGCTTGCGAACCAACACAGAGTATATATATATATATACTATGAGCAATCCAACCGCATTCAGTACCATAGCAGGCTGAGGTAGAAACCATTACTCCCGTGTAGGTACTTGAGAGTTTAATACATCCGCCTACTGTAGCAAAGTCCGTCGCAAATTGTTCTGCTGGACCACATGTGTACCCAAAGGGCTTACAACCCATTACACCGAGTATAAAAAAAAATAGTATTCAGGACTACAGCACACTGAGGCAGAGATCATCACGCCCGTGTAGGTACTCGAGAGTTTAATACATTCACTTGCTATAGCAAAGTCCGTCGCAAATTGTTCTGCTAGACCACATGTGTACCCAAAGGGCTTACAACCCAATACACAAATCGTATTCAGTACTACAGCACACTGAGGCAGAGATCATCACGCCCGTGTAGGTACTCGAGAGTTTAATACATTCACTTACTGCAGCAAAACTCGTCGCAAATTGTTCTGCTCCACCGCACGTGACGCATCGCCCAGTTCGCGACTGATCTTAGCGATGTCTTCAGACGAACAGTCCTCTGTGTTCATCATCTTCGCCTGTAGGCCGTCGTATGAGTCTACAATTGTCTGCACACACGCCTCTACCTCAGCGTTCCAGCTGTGTGAAGGATGGTAGAGGTATTGTCAGAAAGAAAGGATACCTATGTGGGTGTGTGGATGTAAGTATGTGTGGATATGAATGTGTGTATGTGTTAGTTATAGAAAGTATAGTAATAGTAGGGTCATCATTAGCAATCAAGGATACATCTTGCA